CATCTTTGAATTAAAAAAAAAAAAAAAACCTAGCAAAGCCTAGCCACCTTTTCAAAATTTAACTTTATTGGAAAAAGAAAATGCTATATATATTGTTTGTAAAAGCATTAGTTGACTCAGACTTCCAAAGATGACTTAATTACACCGTAAAACCATAGACCTTTTGCAAACGAAAGAGAAAGTAATCGTATATTATGTGTTGATAAAAATCATAAAAAATTTTAATTTATATTTTAAAAAAATATTAAATTTTTATTTAAAATTTATATTTAAAAAGTTAAAAAAATTCAAAATAAATTTATTAAAAATGAACTAACAAAAGTATTTGTGATGATTTATATAATTTTTATTCTATCCAAAAAAATATATTTAGTTATTTAATAGTGTAATTCCCTCTCACACATAATTAAATAATCAATAAATTATACTCACTTCATCTTTTTAATAAATTTATTTTATTTTATTTTTTAACTTTTTAAATATAAATTTTAAATAAAAATTAATATTAAATTTTTATTTGAAATTCATATTCAAAAATTCAAAAAATCAAACTAAATCTATTACAAATGACAAAGCATATGACAAGTTGGAATGGAATTTTATTTGTGAGGCTCTTTGTTTTATCAACTTCCCTCCCCTCATCATCAAATTTATCATGTCTTGTGTTTTCTCCACTACCATTTCTATCATTATTAATGGTGATAGGTCTGATTCCATCACTCCTTCAAGAGGCATTCACAAAGGAGATCCTTATCCCCTTATCTTTTTTATTTTGTATATGGAATTTATGGCTATTAAGATTTCTAATGACATGAATGTAGGAATTTGGAAGGGCTCCAAGGTTGGTCGTAGAGGGGCCCTTTTATCCCACCTATTTTTTGTGGATGATATCGTATTTGTGGGCAAAGCCACCTAAGATAATTGCAATTACCTTTGCTCCCTACTCCAACTCTTTTGCTCTAGATCTAGCTAAAAAATCAATCTCCAAAAATCTTGGGTGTTGTTTTCCAATAATGTGGATCCTTCTACCTGAGATCTCTTCTGTTCTATGCTTGGCATTTCTAAAACCAAAGACTTGGGGAAATATTTGGGTGTCCCCATATCTCATAAAAAACTAAAGAAAACACAATGTTAGTTTATTGTTGATAAGGTTTGTAAGAAACTCACTAACTAGAAGACTAATCTCTTGTCCTTTGCAAGTCAAGTTACTCTCACCAAGTTTGTTCTAGAGACTATCCCAATTTATTACATGCAATCCTCCCTCTTGCTTACCTGCATTCATCATGAGCTGGATCAAATTTCACACAACTTCTTTTGAGGCTCTGATAAACATCATAAGAAAATACACTTACTCAACTAGAAAACCATCTACCTTCCAAAGCGCCTAAGTGGCCTTGGGCTTAAAAGTTCACGAGAGACTAACATTATCTCCATGTGCAAACTAAACTGGAGGCTTTACATCGAGAAAGACAAGTTATGGTCCAAACTCTTATGTTCAAAGGACTCTATTATAGACCCCCGTGCCGTCCTTCCCATTGCTGGCTCTCCTATCATCAAAGGGCTAAGGGAAGGGCGCACTCTTTTCCAACAAGGGCTAAAGTGGATCCCTCGCAATGCTATTAGGTTATGGTAGGATTTTTGGTGTGGTTATCAACCTCTCTCTGCTGTTTTAGCTAGCCTGCACCTTCCTCATTCTGATTCCCTTTCTCTTTCACATGCTCTAGATAGCTCTTCCCCTCACACCATATCTTACCACCTTCCCTCGGAAATTTGGGATTAAATTAGAGCCATACCTTTTTCCATTCAAAATCTGGAGGTGGATAGTTTTACTTGGGCTTATGGCCAGAGTGGAAACTTCTCCTAATCTTTTGCCTACTACTTGCTTCTTGAGCTCCCTACTAAATGTGTCAACAAATGGAGCTAGGTTTGGAAAATTAACACCTTACCAAAAATTCAGCATTTCCTTTGGTTCTTATCTCATAAAAGACTGAAATCTCTTATCTTCCTTCATCACCTGGGTATATGTTCATCTTCTTTATACCTAAGATGCTAAAGCCATGATGAGAATATTGACCATATCTTCAAGACCTACTCGAGTTCTTTATCATTTTGGGAATGACATTTTCCCTAGAGTTATAGTGCCTAACGATGATACTCCATTTCTTCAATGGTTGTGCACAAATTATACTCGATTTGATCCCGCTCCGACCACCCCAGTTGCATGGGGCACTCTGTTTTCTTTCATTATCTGGGGTATTTGGATTTTCAAAAATCATGTCTTATACCAACACGAAAATATTACCAGACAAACCTTTAGCTACTCCATCTTTTGTAGGGCCATTGAATTCTGGTCCTCTCGCCAAATTCCCAACAGTCTCCACAATAGGAGTCACGAGATGTTTGCTTGGTCAAAACCATAGTTCCCCACCATCAAACGTAACACTAATGGTTCTTCCATTGAGAACCCAAGAGTATTTGGATCTGGTCGTATTTTCAGAGACTCCTTAAGGAACTGAGCGCTTGGTTATGCTAAGAATATTAGTCTCTCTTCCTCACTTGCTATAGGGTTATGGGCCATTAGAGATGGTCTTGTTTTGGCCATCCAAAGGGGCTTCCAAGACTTAATTGTTGAAAGCAACTCAAAGATCTCTGTATTTCTTTTCATGAAAGGTTATGTTTCCAATCACCCTCTCAGCACCTTAATTCTTGATTGCAAGATGCTCATGTAGCAAATACATTAGATACAACTGGTTAACATTGTACGTGAATGCAATATGTGCACTGATCAGCTGGCAAAAATGAGGTTGTTGCTCTCTTCCTCCTTTTGTATTTTTTATTATTGTCCACCAACTGTGACTGGTTTATGTTTGGCGGATGCCTATGGGGTTCAATACGTTAAACCCCCTTGAATTTTTGTATCTGTGTTATTGTATCTTCTTTATTACCAAAAAAAAAAATCCATTGCAAATAAATAAAATGATAATAAATTAATTATTTTAATTGTAAGTGAAGCATATATACTAGTCTGTTACTATATTAATAGATAAATATACTATGCTATCTCTTTATTGTATATAAGAATTTCTCCATGTCATAGGGTGTAATATATAACATTGTCCTTGTAATATAGTGTATAAAAAAATATAATGTATAAATACAATACTATAAATACAATAATTTTTATAATATTACATAACACTAAAAAATAAAAACATACTCATTTTTCCTTAACACTTTTACTAAAAAAATTAATTATAAAATAATACGTTATATTATACAAAATATTATTTAACAACATTTGTTGGCACCACTAAGATGAAATATATAAATGAGGATAAATACTTTTTATTTTTTTTCAAATCCCTCCTTAACTGGGTGAAGGTTTTTTTTTTTTCTCTCCCTTGATTCAAGGTGTAAACTTATAATTTATAATGTAAAATTTTAAATTATTACTCTCTTTGTTTTAAAATAATAATAATAAGTTTTATAATTTAAAATTTATTCTCAAATAATAATAATTTTTTATTTTGAAAGAGACAAATATTTTTTTATTTTAATTTTATTATTATTTTTTTAACTTTAATTAACTATTATGTAATTAAAATAATATTTTATTTTTATTTATTTTTAAAAATAAAATAGATAAAAATAAATTTTATCTTCAAACTTTTAATCTGAAAATAAAATTAAAAGATATATATTATTTGAAATAAAAAATAACAAATTAAGTGAATCTATTTAACAATAATAAGTGTAGCATTTTTCTATTTTTTTAAAAAAGAGATTTAGAGTTTCAAAAAATGTTTAATAAAAGAAAAACTCTTATACTATAAGAACATATTCACATCTAAATGGTCCCGTTGTGTAGGTTGTGTACTGCGTAGGGTACAAACAGGAACCCTTCTGAGTTTGGACTGAAGACAGGTAGCCGACACTCTTCAAGATGAAATTACGAACGTACCCTCACGCACTGAGTTGGGTGATTCTGGGTATCTGCGTGTACTTGACAAAAGCGAAAAGGAGAGGAGGAAATATATTTATTTAGGCCCTCAAGGTTTGCAAATTTTTTAATCTTTAACCTCATTGGGCCTTGTTGTTTCAGTTTTTAGGCCCTCTAACTTTCAAGTTTTTCATTTAAGACCCCAGCAAAATGGAGAGATCATTCTCTCCATTACATATTCTTCTATTAACACTTTGAAATTAATCAAATATGTTGAAATAAAATAAATTTTTAAAAAAATTATCTAACATATATTTTTAAAAATGTAATAAATATATCTTTTATAATTAATTTTAAAAAATTTAATTTTTATTTTAACACTATTATTACATAAATAATTTTAATTAGTTAATTGATTAAATTAAAGTTAATATTTTAATTTTTATATAAATTAATTATAAAAGTATTCAATAAATGCGCACTAAAGCACAAATTAGAAAAGCCATTTAAAAAAATGCTATAATCACTGCTCTCTTTATGGATTATATTATTCTTCTATAGAAATTGTCATCAATACATTAAGAGTCTTGTTAAATACTCGTTTTACAATAAAGAGTATCATAATAGCTCTCATTGTCAAGGGTGCTTTAAATAGAGAGTTAGCTAAAGTTAGTTGATATGGATGGAATATTTTAACATTGAATTTAATATTCTATCTTCTATTCAATTTTTTTTAAATAATATGAGTATTTAAACCTTTAATTTGACTAATTTTACAAATGCTTATAAATTACTTTGTTTACAAGTTTTAAGTAAATCTTTATTTTTAAAAGTGATTAATTTATTGAAATTATTTACATCCAAATAACATTAACAAAATTCAAATCCATATTCTCAATATTGTTCAAATCTCTCCTTTTTCCTTAATCACTTAAGTGTTGCCCTATGGTTTTTTTATGGAAATTAATCCTGCACACAATAAACTTGAATAGAAAAGTAAATAGGCAAAACATGACATTTTCAAAGTACAAAATATGCTACACTATTTTCTAAAAACCAAATCACAAGCATCTTTTGTGTTGGAATAGCAGTTATGTGATTTTGAGAAAAGCATCTACTCAGTCCAGCAATAAACATCGCAACACCATCATATTGAAAGAGGAAAATGTAAAATAATAATAATAATAACAATAATAAAAAGCAATGCTAAGCACTAATTTGGCATCTTCCAACTCCTTTTGTGTAAAAACTCTGTAATAATTCTACTAATAAAAAGTAGACAGGAAAATGACATTATTCATCAACTTTTTATTTTTTATTTTTTTCCTGATGTAGCTTGAAAGTTGAAATTGAAAAGTTGAGAGCTTGAACGAATGGAAATTTTCATGAATGTTAAAAACCAAAGGGATATATAGTTCAAGGGCTTAGATTACAACTTTCCCAAACAAACAAAACGAAAGCTGCTAGTACTACAAGTTTGTCATTTGACTTGGTAAAGTTAGGAGCCCTACAATTTATTATTGTTGAGGGAAGAAGTCACGCGGACAAGAGATGATAAACAGAGCATTCAATAGAGAATGCCTGTCCTAGCAACCCTAGTCCTTAGGATCCCAGGCTCCGAGCCTAGGGTAATGCCTATCCTTTCTCTTCTTTACCCTAATCGTACGACGAATTCAATAGCCTAGAATCCAAAGAGACAATGAGCCACAAAAAGTGTAACTAATAGTCCTTTCTCTTTTATTGCACGTAAGGTAATGTATTTATGTATAGATTAATCTAAAATTTTAAGTTTATAAATATCTAAAATATCTTTTGTCGCATATAGACTTTGTGCCCAACAGCTTTACACCTAATGCAAGGTGCACTCTCAAAATATCTTTTGTAAACTATTTAAAAAAATATATATATCTTTTGTCTTTTTTTTTCACTTTATTTGAAAGTTTTTTAAAGTAATGCAAATTTATATTTAAATGGTAAAATTTTTAAAGTTATGATATTTGTTTATATGTTAATTTCTCAAAATAATTGTTGAAATTCAAATGGCTAATTCTTTTGGAGTAAAAGCTTGACCAATGCTATAATCAAATTTCCATATGGTTCTAGGTGCAAGTTGCACCATATGGATGATCCTTTGTGCCGCCAATAAGGAATCAAACTCTACCATTTCCTTGTGTAATTCTTCTGCCATGCAATTTTCTAAGGCTTTAAGAATGACATAAAATTTCGCACGTTTAGCATGACCTGTACCCAATAGCATATATATATATATATATATATTGAAGCCGAACTGCCACGCTCCTTTTGAGTCCCTGCTAATATCCCCTGCGGCTGGAAGACCCTGCGAGCGTAATGGACTGATAGTCCTTTCGTTTCTTAAAACGTGTGTGTGTTCTTATGAATGTTAAAATGCATTTGATATTGTAGATTTGAAATTAGTAATTAGATGAATGAGAATATTTAAATTATAAAATTAATGGATTAAATAATTTAATAATAATTTTTTTTACTATAAATAATATATTTTAAATTAAAATTATATAATATACAAGTATAGTAAGTTAAGGAACGGGGGAAGTTTATCTTTTATTGTGCAAATAAGGACTTGTTTGATATAACGATTAAAATTCAACAAATAACGAGTAGCGAGTAGTGATAGCGGATAGTGGATACTAAGTAGTGATAGCAAATGACAATAGTGATAGCAAATGACAGTAGCGACAACGGGTAACTGGTAACGGTTAACGAATAACAGATGATGGACAGTGAAAAGTGGGTAGCAAATAGTATATAGCGGATTTGATAGATATAATTGTTTAATTATACAATAGTTAGCCGTTGTTATTCAATATTAAATGACTAATAAGGATAAGTTAAAAAAATTTTAATGTATTTTTTAAAATATTTTTATTTTTTATTATTAAAATTATTAGTTTTATAAAAATAATAATGAGAAAATAAATAAATAGCATTAATTATAATAATGTAATTACACCCTTATTTTTATTTTTAACAAGAAAAAAATTATATTTTTTTAAATAAAAAATTAATCATTTTGTCTAATTAGTAAATTTTATTTACTAAGATAATATATATTTTTATGATAAGTTAATATAAAAAATAAAAATATAATAATCACTTAAGGTTATTAAAGGTAAAAAACAAAATTAAAATTTATTAGATAAATATTAATTAAAAATTGTAGTTAAAAAATAAAAACTAAAAAAAGATAAATTTGCCAATAAAATTAAAAAATTTCAATTTGCTAGTAGTTTAGGATAAAAAGCTACCTAAGTTAGTTTTTTTAATCCACTCGGGTTTTGAAACTTAATTGCTATTCACAAGTTACAAACTGTTAAATAAAATTTTTTATTAAATACCTTATTTGTAACAATTTCAAAATATATTAGTTTACCAAACACTTATTTTTGACAATTTAGGTAAAACCACTAACTGTTACTCCAAGCCGCAATTCCAAGTGGCTCTTAAAATTAAAAAATATATATTTAAATTATAAACAATAATTATTATTACTTTCAAATATTAACTATCTATACATGTTATATTTGAATGGCTAATTTAAACACCTTAAAATCTAATTTTCACATGTCTCAAAATTTAAACTTGATACTTTTAATTTGATATTAACATTCAAATTTTAGATCTCTAATTTAAAATTTCAAATTATTATTAATTAAACTACCCTTAATAACAAGTTATGGGAATATGTTTTGTATATGTCTCTGTGTGTTTTTCCTATTTTTATCAAATAACCATAAATTTATTGGTAAATGATCATAGTATATCAAGCAAATTTATCATAGAAGTCATATAAACAAAAACACTGCAACATTGAATCCCAACCATAAAATGTATAGTTATTAAAAGTATCAAAAACCTGAAGAGGACCTGTTGTTGCTGAATATCCTTGAGTTCCTGCTTCAAGTCGGTTCTTCTTCAAATAGTCCTGCAAAATCCCGAGGTTTTTCCTCGGGGAGAAACTCCGATGCTTAAGTTAGTATTTTCCTCCTTTTTTCTTTTTTTGTTCCGCCTATTTATCGAGTCTTACCTTGTAGGCTTTGTCCCACTTGGCAAGGCACCCACGTGGCCCGTCCATACCCACGTGGCCTAGTCAATCCAATAATGGTGACATGGTGCGCCTGACGGAGTAGACGTTTTAGGTGGGTGTAACGTGCCTTAACGGAGCAACCGCATTAAATGCGCGTGGTGCGTTCTGGCGGAGCAGGTTCCTTGAGAAGGGGTGTTCTGGTACAGATGAGTGATCAGATGAGGGTGTGCCTATTGTGGCTGTCATACACCCACGGCGAAGTGCCGAGGTGCGGTTAGCTCTGACCTCTGCAGCCGAGGTGTGGTTGGCTCTGAGCTCTGCACCTTGTCTTGTCTCGTGTGGCTGCCCTTACACTATTCCCCCCCCGAAGTCATTCACTTGTGAATGATAGGAGGGAAGATGGGAAGGGTAGCGAATAAGAGTGGGGTTGAGGGGTGGTGTGTTTGATAGAGTAGAATAGTGGAGTGGC